CGGAGATAAGAAAGTGCATAACAAATTTAAAAACAACAATAAAAACGGAAATTTTGCCTTTAAATGTTGTTGATGACCAGTTGGTGTCTGTTCTGTTCCCAGTGAATGTCTTTCGGCCAAAATTTGCTGCAACTGGTCTTCGACAAATTTGCGAAACGCGCAACTTGCGAGTTTTTTTTAATTCGGCTATAGTTGTGCTGCTTGTTGGATCAGGACCTAAAAGGTCAATGCCGATAGAAAAATTAGGCAGTTCTTGGCTGGTTTCTTCCATATTTTAAAGAGAAGGAAAAATGTACTGCAGCTTAAAAGACGACAACTTTGCAGCCAGGTAAACAAAAAAAATTGCTCACGTCATCTTATTTACGCACGGGCGTGCGTAAATAAAGATTTACAAAATGTGCCCCGATTTGAGATGGATTTTGTGTTGCATTTTGCCATGTGCTCAGCTGATTTCACTTGCGTGAACGGATCCAAGACCCAGATAATGTTTTCCGAATTGCTTTAAAGGATTAACCTTTTGGATTTTGAATAAAAATTTTGAAGAAACGGCTTCTCTGTCTATTGTTTTGAGTTTGTTCATTCATAAAATTAGCTCAAAACACGATTGTGACTACAACATCCAAGCTGAATTTAAGCTTAAATGCTTCTCACATTCATTACACGCATCACTTTTTGCAAAGATGTCAGGTTTTGGACACTTTTCGATACGCAGCTAATGAATTTTATTCGAAAATATTTTTTACTGTTTATTCTAGACTTTTAATATAAGAATTTTAAAAGCCTATTTGCAGTATAAGTTTACTGTACTGAGGGTCAACGAGGCATCGTTCTGATCATTATTTGAAGTGACAATTTCAAGAGGGGGGTGAATAGCAGTATGCAAATCCGCCGATCCGTTATGATTTGTTAACCAAATCCGCCCTTCCATTTTCGCCCAGAATCCGGAATTTGGGCAAAAATATTTTAATTACACGCAAAGTCCAAAATCCGGGCCCAAAACGTAGGTGAATCCGCAATCCGTTTCAATTGCAGGATCCGGAAATCCGTTAAAATCTCGCTTTGAATCCGAAATCCGGGCAAAAATATTTTCAAAATCCGCCGATCCGTTTGCCTATTCACCCCCCTCCTTCAAGAAGCTGCGAGGACGTCAGTGGGTTTCATAATGTTATGTTTGGTCTGGGTGGTGAGGCAATAATAACCTGCTCAGTGTTTCGGTGAGACTCCTGATTTCAAACTTTGAAAGCTTTCTCGGCTTTCGGGAGTTTTTTCCCCCGTTTGTCGGCCATTTTTTTTCAAGAGGGCGCGGGAACCTGAAGTAAAATTACGTCACACTGTTTACGAAGTTTGATTGATCAGTTATCTCTTCTTCTCGTTCCAAATATGGTACTTTCGAAAATGAATAATCACGAGCATCGCACAAAGCAAACGTGAGAGTTACATGCTTTAACCCCCTATGAGTTTCTGGTTACACACAATAGTGTCATCAGATTTTGTGAGTTTTTGCGTGGAGTAATTGCTTCATATACTGCCAAAGACAAATTTAGCATAAACACTTTGTTTTTAAATTACACTATTCAACTTACCAGAACATGTTCTTCCATTACCCGAGTATCCTGGTTTGCAAGCGCATGTGTAAGAACCCAGAATATTGCCGCACACCGCATTTACGTCACAGCTATGAGAGTTGGTAGAACATTCGTTGATGTCTAAAACAAAGAAAAAAGATGAATCAAGTTACTCTACTACAAGTAAGTTACGCACTGGTCTTTGTTGAAAGAGTTCGATTGTATAATTCAAACGTAAAACTGTAAAATAAATACGTTACAAGAAAAAAAAAATTACAACTTTATGGAATAGATATATTTTTAGAAATTCATCGGGTGTATTTTAGGTTTTAGTTTGATGTATTTTTTAATAACACCCATCTTTGCCTGTTTAACTGGGTTACACACAATAATGTCATCAGATTTTGTGAGTTTTTGCGTCG